CATCATCATAATCCGAATCCTCATCATCGTTTTCATCAATATCGTCATCCGATTATTCATCATTTTCAGTATCTTGAAACTCAACATTATCATCGTTATCATGATCCGAAGCATCATCATCTTCAGCATATTCATNCATCGTCATCATCATCATCATCTTCATCATCAACACCATCATAATCTGAATCATCATCATCGTTTTCATCATTATCGTCATCCGATTATTCATCATTTTCAGTATCATGAAACCCAACATTATCATCATTATCATAATCCGATTCATCATCATCTTCAGCATATTCATCATCATCATCATCATCATCATCGACACCATCATCGTCATCATCATCATTATCTTCTTCATTCTCTTCATCATCATAATACGAATCATCAACATCAGCATCATCAACACCCTTATCAACATCGACATCAACGTCGTCATCATCATTATCCTCTGAATGTTCTCAAAATCACCATCATCATTCGAATCATCCACATCATCATCCGAACCATCTTCATCAACATCATCATCATTATCCGAATCATCATCATCATCATCCGAGTCATCATTCCAATCATCAACATCACCAACCGAAACATCCTCGTCATCATCATTATCCTCCTCACCCTTATCGTACAAATCAAAATCTGAATCATCATCATTATCATCATCATCATCTTCATCATCAAAAACAACCTTCTCATAGTCATCATTATCTGAATCAGCATCCGAATACTCAACATCATCATCATCATCATCATCATCATCATCATCATCCGAGTCATCATCATCATCCGAATAAACATCATGTTGAGCATCATCATAGTCAACATCATCATCATTATCATGATCCGAAGCATCATCATCTTCAGCGTAACCATCACCATGATCATGATCATCATCATCATCATCAAAATCATCATCATAATCCGAATCACCATCATCGTTTCCATCATTATCGTCATCCGATTATTCCTCATTTTCAGTATCATGAAACTCAACATTATCATCATTATCATAATCCGATTCATCATCATCTTCAGCATACTCATCATCATCATCATCATCATCATCATCATCATCATCATCATCA